AGGTTGAATTTGACAGCTAGGGGTTTACCCTCGCATGTGATTATGACTATACAGTTGGCGATTGCGTTCTCTACGAGAGGGTTGTATACATATACTGTAAGTGGCACGAGTTCGGGGGTTGGTGTCAGGTTATTAAAGGAGTTCCTTCTTTTCAGAGCTCTTTGGTGGACATTTTGATGTTCTTGCAAGAAATTATTGAGCAGGGCCTTTCTTTTTCCACATTGAAGGTTTATATGACAGCCATCTCAGCGTGTCATGTAGGGATTGACGGCCCCAGGGTCTCATCCTCTGATGGTGCGGTTCCTGAAAGGCGTGTGTCGGCTCAGACCAGTAAGCTTATGGCACAGACCTGGGACCTGGCTTTGGTCCTGGACACTCTGTGTGAGCCTCCGTTTGAACCATTGGAGTCTGTGGACCTGAAGGTCCTTTCCTACAAGACTGCCCTGCGCATGGCCTTGGTATCAGCCAAGCCCGTTGGGGATCTCCATGTGCTATCAGTACACCCTTCCTGTTTGGAGTTCTCGCCTGGCGACGCCAAAGTGATGTCCTAATGCAGCATTTGCTCCCAAGGTTATGCCTATGTCTTACAGGTCCCTATGTCTTACAGGTCCCTGGCTTCCGAGCTGTTCCCTTTCTCACCCCCTCTGTTTGCTTAAGTGAACAACGGAGATCGCATGTCCTGTGTCTGGTGAGTGCTTTACACACGTATATGGGTAGGACCAAGGATAATCGAGTTTGAGACCAGCTTTTTGTCTGTTTCGCTAATCCAGCTCAGGGTAGGGTGCTTTCTAAGCAACGTCTTTCTCATTGGATTGTGGAGGCTCCCTGGCGTATGTAAGCAAAGTACAAGGGTTGCCTAGCATTGTGCGTGCTCACTGCACTTGGGGTGTGACGACTGCTTGGGCATTGTTCAGGGGCATGATGATTGGTGATATATGTGCTGCAGCGAGTTGGGGTTCCCGACATGCCTTTATTGCTTGGATGTAACTGCTCCCAGTGTAGCTGATCGTGTTCTTATGGCTGGGTCCGGGAGTGGGTGTTAGGAAGCGCGCAGTTTGCACATTTATCCTGGTTACCACAATTCCCTGTGGGTTTGAGCCGGGCTGCCTTGAGGTGTGGCAGCTCGTAAAGTGTGCATTATCAGGGTTACCACAGCTTCCTGTGGGTTTGAGCCTTGGGCTGCCGTGGCAGCGTGCGAGTACACAGTTTCCAGGTTACTGCAGGTTTCCTGTGGGTTTGAACCTCGGGCTGCCGTGGTTAATCGACTCTGGTCGATGCTATGCAGAGTGCGTCAGATCACGACAGGTGTTCTGTTGTTTTGGACTTGCGGTTCCTTGTATGAGTTCTGACATTTCAAGCTCGCAAGGTAAGTATTGTTCTTGGAACCGTGGGGCTTGGATGCAGTGCTGTGTCAGTGTGCATAGCCAAGTTGCAGCAGGTTCTGGTTCCCTATATGGGGCTCTGACAGTTAAGGCCTCATGAGGCTCTGACGGGGGAACCTGTGTGTGCTTGGGCTGGTGTAGGCCTCCTAGTTTGGTACCCTCTGAGCCTGCTTTGGGTGTGATTTTATGTCCCCATAGTATGTTATACTGAGTGACCGACTGAAAGGGAACGTACAGTTATGAGAAAACAACTGTTCCCTGAAGGAGGGAACAAGGTATAACATATTTTGGCCCCTTCGCCGTCAGGGGATTTGGGCTCGCTGAAGAACAGTACTGAATTAAGGAAATGGATGCGAGCCCCGGTATTATAGCCAGGAAGGTGGGGCTTCCGAGGACGGACCTAGGAAGAAACCTAGAGCGGAACCAGGCTCTGAGGGGGGGAGATTATAAGAGTACATGGCCGTTAAGGCCAGATTGTTCTTCAAGATGTTGAAACGTTCATAGATGACCAGCAGGCTCAAATAATAATCACAGTGGTTGTAGAGGGTGCAACAGGTCAGTACCTCAGGAGTAAATGTCAGTAAATGTCATAGCCGAGCATTCAGAGGTCGAGACAGCAGGTGCGGTAGAGAGACAGAGTCGAAAACAGCAGGTCCGGGACAAGGTAGTATGTCCGGTGAACAGGTCAGGGTTCAATAGCCGAAGGCAGCACAGTTAAAACTGGAGCAGCAGCACGACCAGGTGGACTGGAGACAGCCAGGAGTCATCAGGCCAGGTAGTCCTGAGGCATGGTCCTAGGGATCAGGTCCTCTGGGAGGGGAGGTAGAGAGGGTGAGAGAGAGTACTAGAGAGAGCATACTTAAATTCACACAGGACATCAGATAAGACAGGAGAATTACACCAGATTTAACAGACTGACACTAGCTCCCCGGCACATATAATATTGCAGAATAGATACTGGAGGCTGAGACATGGAGGGTCAGGGGACACTGTGGCCCCGTCCGACGATACCCCCAGACAGGGCCAACCAGGCAGGATATAACCCCATCCACTTTGCCAAAGCACAGCCCCCACACCACTGGAGGGATATTAACAGACCACCAACTTACTACCCTGAGATAAGGCTGAGTATAGCCCACGAAGATCTCCTCCACCGCACGAGCCCAAGGGGGCACAAAACCGGACAGGAAGATCACGTCAGTGATTCAATCCACTCAAGTGACGCACCCCTCCTAGGGATGTCATGGAGGAGCACTAGTAAGCCAGTGACTCATCCCCCGTAATAGGGTCAGAGGCAGAGAATCGCAGTGGAGTGAAGGGAGCGGGGTCGGTTCGTCGCTCCAGTGCCTTGCCATTCACCTTCGCACCCCTGGGCCAGACTACACTCAATCATAGGACCTACTGAAGAGATGAGTCTTCAGTAAAGACTTAAAGGTCAAGACGTGAGTCTGCTTCTCTCACATGGATAGGCAGACCATTCCATAAAAATGTAGCTCTATAGGAGAAAGCCCTGCCTCCAGCTGTTTGCTTAGAAATTCTAGGGACAATAAGGAGGCCTGCGTCTTGTGACGTAGCGTACGTGTAGATCTGTACGGCAGGACCAAATCGGAGAGATAGGTAGGAGCAAGTCCATGTAATGCTTTGTAGGTTAGCAGTAAAACCTTGAAATCAGCCCTAGCCTTAACAGGAAGCCAGAGGCTACCACTGGAGTAATATGATCAAATTTTTTGGTTGTAGTCAAGATTCTAGCAGCCTTGTTTAGCACTAACTGAAGTTTATTTATTGCTTTATCCGAGTAGCCGGAGAGTAGAGCATTGCAGGAGTCTAATCTAGAAGTGACAAAAGCATGGATTAGCTTTTCTGCATCATTGGTGGCCTTGAAATATTCTTGATATGTTCGTCAAAAGAGAGATCAGGGTCCAGAGTAACACTGAGGTCCTTCACTGTTTTATTTGACACAACTGTACAACCATCAAGATTAATTGTCAGATCTAACAGCAGATCTCTTTGTTTCTTGGGACCTAGAACTAGCATCTCCGAGTTTAAAAGTAAAGAATTTGCCACCATCCACTTCCTGAGACTCACAAACCATCAATCCCACCTCACTTCTCAACACATTGAATAGAAGGTCATTTCCCCTATCGACTGTTTATTGAATCATAGGATCATTCAGAGATGTTACACGATTGGTTGCAACTTGCACGTCAAATCCAGCCAATCACAAGCCTGATCAGAGATTATGGCACGAACAGTAGAGCCATGGTAGAGCCTTATTCAACAGTGCTCATTCTCAACAAGCAAACAAACTGCGAGCTGTGAAAACATGTGCCATAAATACAGGCAAAATATTTGATTATATCTGTTTTAGTTTTAAATATGAGTTTTTTTACTAAAATCATTGTACTGTATTTGTGAATGCCCTGAATTGAGACTGTTTAAGTGTGAGTTTGTACAGTAGGCCTACAGCCCACCCTATTGTTGTTGTGTGGTGGCACTGAGTGGAAGTGAAATACTGTTCTGTGGTTTGGTTAGAGTCAACCTCAATTGCTCCTGTCCCAGTTTGAAATATCAAATCTTATCCAGGGTAGATTTTTAGATGTAGTTTTTTTTCCGTTCCTTTTCTGCCCTGCTCAGCTATCTCATTGCATGCAGCGTTTGTATCCTTCAATTGTTTGTTTTTCTACTTTTCTTGGACAATGATCGGACTAAGGTGTTTTTTGCCATTAAGACAGACAGGTGTGTGTGTGTAGGCGTGTGAATGAGTAGCCTAACCATCAACCATAAACTGTTGTCTGTGGATTGATAAGGCTACTGGTAGCCTGTTAGCCTAGCCACACATAAGCAAGGCCATTTACCTGTGGGCTCTAGAAGCGCTATTTGTTAGCAAGGGAGGCTAGTCAGTGACACATTCATGTCATCTACATCTTCACAATCACCGTTGTCCGTTTTTATTTATTTTTTAGATCTGTTTTGTTTGTTTTATTGGTGGGCTTATTACGAGACACTTAAATGTTCATGGCATTATTGCTGCTACAACAGTTATGGTTTGTGGCAGAGAAGACATCTCTCCAAGCTGTCTTGTAAGAAAGGTTTTTAATAAACATTAATTTCCTTTTACTTCACAGTGGTGTTTTGGTGCACACGTGCACACTACATATGAAATCAATGTTGTTGTTGTTTCCTGTCTGTACAAATGTCCTCTTTCAATCCATAGCCTTACTTCATCAATTTCCCTGTAAAGCTAATGACTAGGTCACTCATGACTACAGCTGCTTTTTGGGTAATTACATTTATCTCAACCTTACTCATTCCCACTCCTCCTTTTTGCCCCCTACTACAGGGATTACATGTCCCTAATTTCTCAAATGTGATGATAGGGCACTGGTAAGTGTGATTAAGTGTGCCCAGGGTAAGCTGGGATAGTCCTGTTTTCATAAAGCATCTCAGAGTAGGAGTGCTGATCTAGGACCAGTTTTGCCTTCCAAATCATGATGAATAAAATTACATAGACGGGAGGGACCTGATCCTAGGTCAGCGGTACTACTCTAAGATGCTTTGTGAATACAGGCCCAGGTGTATATATAAAGTCGACACTGTGGAGGATCCATTCTGTTGAGGATGGGACAAGCTGCCTCTCTACCCTGCAGGAGAGGAACCACCTATGTCACAGAGCTCTATGAGTGGTTTAGGTAAGACTTGTATCTACATTCAAAATATAAATTTGTGTTTTAAAGATCTTAATTGATTGTTTTTTTCTAAACATCCTGACGTGTTTTACAAAGACTGCTGAAGTTCAATATTGAATATGTCTTGTTCATGAATGATCGCAATCAACTATAGATGGGTTGGTTGTTTAGCAACAAAACTGATGCGTGCTCAACTATGGGGCAAAACAGACAGGATTGGCTTTGATTGTTGACAACGTGTAAACTATATTTAGTCTCCAATGTTTATTGAAAACATAAATAAATGTGCACAATGAGCACTTGTTGTCTCTCAAATACATCGTTACAGTTGTTGGTTAGCTAGCTAGCACATTTTTTGCCATATTAGCATAGATGTGAAATCAGTCAAAACTCCTCAAAACAAGACATGGTATCAAGAACAACAAAAAACGAGCTAAAACTAGCTACCTACGAGTCTCCACCTTGCAACTTCTTGTCATTGTTGCTAGCTATCTGGCCATCCAGAATCACAACAACACACAGACTTCTGCCCCATTGAAGTGTGTGCATTGTTTTCGTGACTTTGTCAGCTAACCCGTCTATAGATAACCACTTAGAAAAGTGACCATAAAAGTTCATTCAACTAAAGGCAAGAAAAGCAATCTACTGTATTACACATTGAAACTAATGTAAATTTAGAAATCCATTGAACATTTTTAGGACAAAAGTATTTAAAAGGATAAAAGTCTATTTCAGAGAATGACAGTGAAAAGGCAAATTATACGCTTCTGTTGAAAGTCTCAAATAGCTACCATTGTTTGACATTTTCGATCAATCTTTTGCTGGACGGCTTAAGTAGAAGTGTCCTGAAATGGCTTCCCACTGGGCACACACTGGTTGAATCAACGTTGTTTCCACGTAATTTCAATGAAGTAACGTTGAACCAACATAGAATATACGTTGAATTGACGTCTGTGCCCAGTGGGTTATCAGTGATAGTTTAGCCTAATTACCCTGACACTCACCTGCTAGGATGTAAACAAGCTTTCAACCATATTAAACCACTCCAGGTTATTAAAGAATCACTGTTAAAGCTGTTTTAAATCCATTACCCACAATAAAGCTGAATCTATATAATTTTACACGACTGATATCTTTATAATTTAGAGGAGGAACTATTTTAATTTAAAACATTTCTGTCTGTGTTCTTCTTTGGTTGTTTCTATTTGTGATAGAACATTTATGAATGAGTGCCCCAGTGGACTGATCACTCTGCATGAGTTCCGGAGACACTTCTGTAAGGGTACTGTGGGCAATGAGTCCGCTGAGTATGCAGAGCAGATATTCCGCACCTTGGATAATAATGGGGTATTTAAGTCTTTATATTTACATTTCTCATCTTTAATTTTTTTCTGTCATAAATCTGAAAAGCATTAGCCATACTTAAAACACATCAGCACTGTATACGTGCACTGTTATTGGCATACTTCTTTACAAAATACTGGCAATAATTTACATTGTGTACCTATGTAGGATCACACTAACTATTCTATAACAAAATTGTATTAATATGTTGCCAGTAAGTTAGAAATGTACTGCAGATCATTTCTTGGTAATTGCATAGTAGTGGAATTAAACATGATTTGGTTAAACACAAGTGGAATAGGGAACAGGCATTTCAACACAGGTATAAGAGCAATTTAATGTAAAGTGTTACTGGAATGCTTAACACTGTGTGTGAGACTGAGGTTCTGTGGTTATCCACAGGATGGGGTTGTTGACTTCCGGGAGTATGTGAAAGCCATCAGCATGCTGATTGAAGGTACCCCAGTGGAGAAACTACGCTGGTCCTTTAAACTCTACGATAAAGACAAAGATGGTGCCATATCACGCGGGGAGATGCTGGAGATCATGCAGGTAGGTCCTAACCATAGATATACGATATAATACATTATATTTCATTATGTGGTTCCAACAGGCAGGTGCAATGCTAGGACACAGGTGAGAGGATGCAAATTGAACAATGTTACTGTTCTTTGCCTTTCCTCAAAAATCTTTGCTCAAGATCAGATTACCTATCAGGATAATTCATTAGTGGAATTTGTGTGGGTGCTGTGGGAGCCTACTGGCACTGCATTGCACTGGCAGTGGCACTTGCCCTAGCTGCACTCGTAGCAGACATTACTGTGCTAGATGTCCAATTTCACAACAATGTGTATGGTCTCTGTTTACAGGCTGTGTACAAGATGAGCGTGGCAGCCTCACTCACCAAGCCTAACCTGCTTACAGCTGAGGAGTGCACCAACAGGATATTTGCAAGATTGGATAAAGACAACAATGGTGAGGACTACACAGAAACAATTCCAAAACACACATAATCCTAATTGAAGGTTATAAAACCTACAGCATCCTCAGCTGGTTACCTATTGTTGCAGTTATTCTGCTTCTACTGTAATCATCCAGCCCTACCTTGAACTCTATGTTCTGGGACTTGTGATTGTAACTTAGTCTTGTGAGTGTACAGCCAATACAAGGCTGTAAACATAATTGTTATTATTCTATTCTATTCAGCCATCATCAGTCTGGAGGAGTTCATCGAGGGGGCCCTGGATGATGAGTGGATCAGGGAGATGCTGGAGTGTGACCCCAACACTGTGAAGGTTGAGAGGCTCCCCAAGGGCCACATCGTGCTTGAGGAAGGACAGACAGAGAGGTGATGTGGATCCAGAGCTTCATTTCATTCTACCTGGGATGTCAGCTGATGAATTGAACTGGACATATGAGCTGAGACAATACCTGTATTCTAGCTATCTTTGTGATGCTTCAACAGTTTCCAAAAGCCAAGACTACATCAAAGTGTTTATATGGTGTTACAGGTCTTGAGCGCATTACTATAGCCTACTCCAATTTCTGAACAAAATGCCATTCTATTAATTAGGTCTAAGATGTGTTTCTTTCTTACTTTGTGTAGGGTATACATATTTATTAGATTTTTTGTCGTTTTATTCTCTCCTCACATTATTTTAAAAAGCTCATTAATGTTTTCTAGCTCACATTTCTTTCACATTATGTAGTTTACTCTGTCCTCTTGTATAACAACACTTATTTTAGCAGTGGCTGAGTCTGAGACATAATAAAAGCCAAATAAAATGTGTGGGAAAGGGCATCTTAGTTATCCCTTATATTTATGAGTGGAAAGAAGGACAATAAACTTGAAAAGTAATGATGAAATACATTTAACAGACAATTTCACTTAGGCTACTTGTGTGCCACCTACAGACCACATGGGAACTTCTCGCTTTTTCAAAAGTGATTGGCAGGCCCCTCCCAAACTCTGAAAAGATCCCAGAGAAATTCCTCTTCCCAAACCAATCCAATCGGGATTGTGGGAAGTAGATGTTGTAGAGATGAAAAATATTCCTGGAGTGATTGATGCACGTCGGATAAATCGTGTGGTGAATGAAGAAAAAGTGAAGAGTCTATCTGTTCTTTTGTTTTTTGATATGGAGTCTCTCCCTACTCAAGTGCAGTTAGCGTATATTAACTACAGAGTCAGAGCATTTATCCCAAGACCAATGCAGTGTGATCATTGTAAAGCTTTTGGTCATGTCAAGTGTTTGCAGAAGGGAGAAGCCGAGATGTCCAAGTTGTGGAAATATCATATTATGTGTTATAAAAGTGATGAAAATGTGACATGTTGCAATTGTGGTGGGAACCATGAAGCCACGTCTTTCGAATGCCCCACAAGGGTGAAAGAGAATGAGGTAGCCAAAGTCAGGGCTATCCAGAGCATATCATATGCAGCAGCTGTTAAAAGGGTTGAGGGTTTGAATGGTGCTCCTGAAGAGTCCATGGTGGTGGATAGGCCTTCAATGCTAAATGGCATATTATCATATTATTAATGCAAGCTGCAGGGGTTGCCTTTAACCAAGATGATCCGGACATTTTAAAGGTTAAAAAGGTGGACTTTGTGGCCTTTATCGCAATGGTGATTAATGGCACTGCCAAGGTGGAGAAAATATGTAGGAAGATAGAAATCATTATGGTTGCGGCTGAACGGTTCCTGGGGTTGAAAGATTTCTCGGCAAAAGAGTTACATGGAATATTGTCAAAAGCCGTACCACCATCTCAGGCCCTAGAGACTGAGAAGGGAGATATGGAGATTTAAAAGAAGGAAGAAATGGGAGTTTTGTTTTGTAAATGTACTATTTTATTTGGGTGGATTTAGTTAGTTTCCCTATTCTTTTGTTACATGGAATATTAGCAAAATCCGTATCACTCTCTCAGGACCTAGAGCCTGAGAAGGGAGATATGGAGAACTAAACGAAGGAAGAAATGGGACTTTTGGTAATGTACTATTTTTATTAGGGTGGAGTAAGTTAGTATCACTATTAAGTATGGATGTATTTTTTATTTTATATATTTTGTGGTTTCAAACCATCCAGTTGGTGGCGGCAATACAACTTTAGGATGTAGTCCGCCTTAAAACCCACAGAAGAAGAAGAAAAAAGCAGCAGCAACAGCAGCAGCAGCGTCGTTTCCACTTTCCAACTTTCCACTCCACTCCCATTTTCGACATGGCATAGGCAAGAGGCAACGCAGCAGGCTGACATTGTAGCGGGAAAACCGTGATAAGTTGATAAAGTAGAGAAATGTCTATGTCTTTATTTCAGTAGGTTGATATACATTTACAAGTTGTAACGAAGATTCAAGCAAAGTTTAGGTAAGTGCGACATTTACGCAGTTTTGTATCTAACTCTGTCTCATTGCGTAGCGTCTGCTGTGATTCAACGTAGAAGTTGGCAACAACGTTGACAGACGTAATGGTACTTTTATCCAACTCATTGTAATCTTTGCCATTTTAATCATGACATTGTTGCAATATTATCTTTGCACGTTGATTTCGTTGCAAGGGAACTTTCGAGTAAGTGCTTCTACAGTTATTTTCCTTCAGACAATTTTCAGACAGCATTTATTTTGTTCCAGTGAATGCATTTAGCCTAGGTCAAAGGAGTTTGTTCCAGTGAAACGTTATAATAATTAAAACCTAACATATACAATGTAGCCAGCAACGTGGCTTCTCCCTACATTGTAACTTTTAGGTTTGAAGTATTATAACATTTCTCTACAGACGGCTACAGACAGCTGTGCGATGCTTTCAAACACTTGCTGCCATTCATCAATCGCATGTTTCCGATTTCGCAACACAAACAACAGCGTTTTTACAGATTGCCACGAATGTTCTCACCCAGATTCAGCTTGATAAATAGTTTTCTCTAACCTTACAGGGTAGAATTTACAGACCTAGACACTCGATCTCAACTGTAGCTAATGCTTTTCATGGTTTGTTTTGGTTGATTGCTCATTGCGCCTATCCTCACAGCAGACGAGTCAACTGTGAAATTGACTTGGTCTATTCTGTTCTATTTTAAAAAACAAAAACATTTTTCTTCTTTTAACATAGGCTTTTCTGAGAGAGAATGCATCTTAAAGGAAGGCTACTGCAGCTAATAGCCAAATAGAGTTAAAGACAACACACTTTTGTCACTCACAGATTTAGGTAATGATTAGTTTGCCCCTTGTTCAGAGCACTGCTCTCCTCTTGTGTTTTTCCACAGATGTTCAACCCTGGTTCAAATGTCAGGGAACCCCTTGAGCCCTTCTTGTCAGAGCTTGCGCTCCTCTCCAATGCACAATAGCAAACATCTTACAATGGAATAGAAGTCGATGGTAAAATCAATCAGTTTATGAATGTTCAGTGGCATCATTGGTATGTTCTCTTCTTATCAGGCGTAGGTTACTTGGCTTTTGAGTATGACCTGTTCTAGAAAGGACCAAATTGGAATGCTATTTTTTTATTCCTAGCTTGAACAACTGCTGAGTAATGTTAAAATAATGTGTGGTTCATGCTACCTAAAATAGGAACTGTAAGTCCTCCAACCAACTGAACAAGGCATGCATGTGGCGAAACATGGACACTTAAGAACTTAATTAAAAAACGTATTCAGATGCTTGTAATCACATTCAAACTATTTATTTTAGCTCACAGCAGCCTTTGATTGTGTCTGAAACTTCATACTTTTTTTCTTGTTGCTCTTGTCTTGCACCATGTGCATATAAAAATGCCATAGAGATGCAGTATTTTTACAGTAAGCTAAGCTATATATAGACATAGGGGAAGGCCCCTTTGGCCATTCGCTTTTAACCATTCACATAGTTGTGTGGGGTATAAAATGTGTGATATGTTTTGCCCCCTCACCCAGACCCAGGTTTGAAATAGCTGGGGGTTTATTTCAGATCAGCCAGAGGCTGCCTGCCCTTGATGGCTCAAATGCATCTGCTGCCTGTGGAGAATAGGAATGCCATGATCACATGCAGGTGGGAATAGCTCTGAACTTGAGGACATCACGTCACAGGTGTAAATAGCAACGGGTTGGCATACTGACACTGTGTGGCACGTACATTGACATATATAAATAGGGCATGTACAATAGAGAAATATAATAAAGAAAATCACATTGATTTATTGGGGAACCAAACGTACAGTAAAGACATAGAGCTAGACCACAGCTAATACTGCATACTAGAAGAAGATGCTGCAAGAGGATGGCACGAAGTGAAAAATAACTTTTCTGACAGTCAAGATCCAGGTAACCTCTAGTGCACTGTCACGTAATATCGCGATTACCTTCTCTGTCATTCATCCTCAGTACAGCAGTCTGTCTTTGCTATTTCCTGTGCTGGGGTGTACATTCCTGCTTTGAGCTAAGAGGAGAAGATCATATGGTAAGAAAGCAAGGCTCAGAATGGGTCAAACAGATTGCGTGTTCTCTGTTGTAAAAGGGGCATAACCCATGAAGGTGAAAAGGGGTTTAGTCAAGGCAAATGACTCAAGAAATCAAATCCTATGAGGAAAAGTCAAGCGACTCTATGAGCAACGTCTTTGGTGGATCCAGCTCTGGCTGAATCAGATGTTTATGATTGTCTTTAGATTTTACCATTGATTGGTAAACAGTACTGTCTGTCCCTCCCTCCCTGGCTGTCTGGCAGAAGACTGTGCTGCACACATGGGGATCGGTGCCAAGATCGTAAATTCCTCTCGCCATGGCGAGCTCTTTATTGCCAGAGAAACAACACATCGCAATGAGTTTCAGCTTGGTCTCTTGGGATTCAGAGCCAGCTCCCAGAGTTGCTTGGCTGCCATAAATGCTTATTTTCTTCCTAGACGAGTGGCCCTCAGGCCAGTGTTTTTCTGAAGCATGTGCCAGGAAAGGGTTTTCTGTTAGTCAGGCAGGCAGGCAGAGTTCAGCATAGGACAGGAGTTTGTATGCCAGGGTCGTGCTCATCAGGGCACGCAGTGGAAAACGTTTTAAAACGTTTCGCAAATGAAATTAAAATGAGCATTTCTTATTGTCCAGGTTGTCCCTTCTTGTTTCAATCCATTTTCTTCCGTTTGGTGCCTAATGAATACAACCCAGGATGAGCTTAGTGCTATTTGATGTGCAGAGGATGGGTTGTGATGCTTTCTCAGCCTGAAGGGCCCAAAGCTGATGGATCTCAAAAGCCATTAGAGAGGCTCTCCCTTGAACTCATTACTCTGTCCCAGTGGATTACATGCCTGACGTTGCCTCTTGAGGACAATAGTGTTTGTGAGTGACTGTTGAGTAATGTTTTTACTCGTACAGTAGGTCTGAAAAGCATATTCAATCAGACAACT